GGCGGGAGGCGGCCCGCAGGGCCTTGGGAGCCACCCCGGACGCCCACCCTGTAAGTCCGTTTTCACAAATACGCGTTCGCTTCCGTGCAGATGTGAGGTTTTCTTCAATTAATTTGTTTCTGCTACTTTGGGACGCAGCTTGTTCGGTTTTCGGCGGCGCTGCTACCCCTGTTGTGCGCGTTACCGCACCCAGTCCTCACGGCCATTAATGCACGGACATTAATGCCCCTTGTCCACGTGTCAGAGAGGCGGAAGCCCGGCGAGGAAAGGCGGCGGGCACTGGTCCCTGCCGTGAGCCGCCAGAGTGGACCAGACGGAGGCCGGAAACGGTCCGCCACTTTGCCGCCGGGTGCAGCGCTCCCGCCGCGTTGACCAAACACTCCCTGGCGTCGCCAGGACCCAGAGCGGAGGGGACCTCGGCCCCTGCCCTTTGGGCCCTCCCTGCAGAGAGGACAGACACATGAATCGCCAGGAAAGCGTGGGGGAGCCTCGGCACAGCCCAGCAGATGGTGTCATGGGGCGCGGAGGGGACCCCTAAAGCCCACACATGTCGGCGGAGGCGCCTCTGCCCTGTGCGCGGGGGAGTGGGCAGGTGAGCAGAATGGAGGCCGCGGATCAGGAGGCCGAGCTCATAGACAGGAAAGGGCTGTGGATTGTGGTCTGGCAGAGGGACAGGTTTCTCTGTCCCCGCATTTTTCCTGCCTCCCTATGTTCGTTTCTATGTATTAGGTCGGGCTGCTGTGTCTCGGTCTTAGAGTGGCCTTATGTAGTAGGTGTCCTGAGGGACCTAGGGGCCCAGTCTCCCTGGTCACCTGAGCCGGGTGCTCCAGGTATGCCCCTTATGTGGGTCGCGTGCCCTCCTGCTGTAGTTGAGTCTTGGTTGCTGTTCGCATGTCAGTGGGAGGGATCGACCCTCGGGCTGATTGTGAGGATGGGCGGTGACCAATGGAGGTCACCATGCTTTACAGGGGCTGACCCCACGGAGCAGGATTCTCTTTAGCAGGGCTCTGGTGCCTTCTCATTTTGCCCTTTGGGTGTGTTGTCCGTGGAGGTGGACAGGTGGTGCTCCGGCTGAGTCAGAA